CGAATCTGAAATGTCACCATCAAAACAACACCGTCTCTATAGTGAATTTTTCAACAAGATATAACCAGAAGTATGAATTCAATGAGCAATTCTAAAATTCCAATTGGATGAGATTCCAATTGCAAAGAATTGTTCGATGCATAACGGCCAATCAAAATTCCTGATTGGTCGATCAGAATTCCACTGTTCTTAGTTCAGTGTAAATTCAAGCACAATAATGTACGCACCTGTTGATAATAGCCATCTCGGACACTACTAAACATGAATTCAACGAGTTCAGCCCACGCTTCGATGGTTTCAGTTGGCTGAAATGATCGTTAAATTTCACTGTTTCATTCATCATCATCAAAAGTGGCTGCACAAAGTCCCTCTTAGATGTGACAATCACAAAAGTTCACTATTAACCTGATGAGCGGCACCATCCAAGAACACGCACTCGGTCGCTAAAGCATTGGCCATCACGGCAAAGAAATCCGCTTTGAATCCCCATCCACGTCTCGGTACTTGATCAATACCAAATTGAATCGATATCTCACGAATCTGAAAGTCCCGAAAACTTGTGTATAATTCTACAACTGTTTTTATATGCATCAAATACACACACAATTTTAACTATGACACGAAACGGTTGTCAGAACAGTCAGATTTCAGTTGGAAATTTTGTTGAATTAGAATTCAATAGTTCGATATCGGAGAGCTGATTAACTAATCGAATTCGGGGAACTCACTAATCAATCGCTACAAGCTTACGAAAGCATGGCAGTGATCAACCCAATGATCATTAAATTAACTTCTTCATTACATATTACTACCCATGATCATGTCCTTTGTGCAACAATACTCATTATGATAATGTTCAGAGAACACAAGCGATTAAGCAGTTACTTGGTTAAAATCATATGAAGCTGGTGAACGACATCAGTCATAATTACCGGCTGACTGATTGAGCAATGGGCGCAGTTAACGGTATAAGAAAATCACATGCCTTTTCAGGATAACTGATATTTTTGACGACATCGCTCAGCAACTGTTTTACCGATGATACCAGATCGGCCATTTGATCATGGTTCAGATTGCCGACGAACTGCGAGAAATCGTCACGTTTATGTGCCATTCGCTGCACGATTCTCGATGCGATATCACCTCGCGCATTCTCCATACATGACACTATTATTGACTGCAATTCGACAAATTTGCAATCCACTCAAGCTCAGAAATTCCATTCAGAGGCATGAATGCTTAACTGATATAAGTTACTTCTCCTCTTTCAACTGTTCCTACCTCTCTCATAGTCACATTTTGAAAGTATCAATCCCCCAGTTGGCTGCGGTCAGCGGTCTTTCAATGCTGCCTGCTGTCCAATATGTAAACACACCAGCAGTGTACGTACATTCATGTAAATTTTCTGTTGGAGTTTTCGACGATTCAGTCAATGGCTGCATGATGAGCTCAATAACAATAGGCCTTCGAGTCATCAATCATCCAAACGGGAGCGGGAATGAAGTGGAATTATTTGATTCTATCGAAAATCGAGCCTAATCTTAATGAATATCTTGCTGATTTGGAATNATTTATTGACGAGGAGGATAACAATGTTGATGAACATCATTCAACTAGGAACTCGTGAATGATTCAATTAGGTACTCTTTGAAAATTTCAGTGTGGATAACACCACTTATGCATTTATACAGCAAACAGTTGGAAGTCAATAAAAAGCCCATGATAGTTTCCTTGAAAAGTTAGATTCACATGTTACGGAATGTCACCACGTTAAAAATTCGAGTATACATGAATAAATTATCGGCGGATAACTGGAACAAATAGGATAAGTCGAGAATCAGTGAAAATCAGAAAAATCAACATGATCAGATAAACTATGAATGTCGCGAAAAATCTTGTAATGTCTAGGCTTTATTTATTCACTCACCCTCTGACCTCATTTACAACCCATTACGAGTTCATGTCTCTATGTTATCACACCAATATCACATTCTTCCTTTCTTGAGCTCTGTCTTCTCGCACAGCTAATGATATGAACGCGATGAATTATCCGTCTTCATGAAATTCTTACTTCAATTTTTGATGTACTGAACATAAAGGTGTACGACTACCCTCTCATATTGTCCAATGATTCCTAAGGAGATGGATTCAAAATGAGTCCGAAAATATACTCCGACTGATCGACTGAGGATGCATCTGATCACTGTTCAAAGTAGTCGTTTGAAACAACCGTCAGCGATAAGGCAGTA